ACTGTGTGTTGTGCACTGTGTACTGTGTGTACTGGTTGTCTGTGTGTGTGTACCGTGTGTAGCATGTGATGTGTACTGTGTGTACTGTTTGTGTGTGTACTGTGTGTAGCATGTGATGTGTACTGGTTGTCTGTGTGTACTGTGTGTGTGTGTACTGTGTGTAGCATGTGATGTGTACTGTGTGTACTGTTTGTGTGTGTAGTGTGTGTGTGTACTGTGTGTAGCATGTGATGTGTACTGTGTGTACTGTTTGTGTGTGTACTGTGTGTGTGTACTATGTGTAGCATGTGATGTGTACTGTGTGTACTGTGTGTACTGGTTGTCTGTGTGTACTGTGTATGTACTGTGTGTAGCATGTGATGTGTACTGTGTGTACTGTGTGTACTGTTTGTGTGTGTACTGTGTAGCATGTGATGTGTACTGTGTGTACTGTGTGTGTGTGTACTGTGTGTAGCATGTGATGTGTACTGTGTGTACTGTTTGTGTGTGTACTGTGTGTGTACTGTGTGTAGCATGTGATGTGTACTGTGTGTACTGTGTGTACTGTTTGTGTGTGTACTGTGTGTGTACTGTGTGTAGCATGTGATGTGTACTGTGTGTACTGTGTGTACTGTTTGTGTGTGTACTGTGTGCGCTACTCTTCTCTCCTTCCCTTTGGCTGCACCACGGGGAGGGGAGTACACACTCTTTAAACTTTAAACCACTTTTAACTTATTATTTTATCAGTCTACAAAGCTATATTTATTATTGTTACACGCTTTTATTTAACTCACTCTGTCTGTTGTTGTTGTAGTATCCTCAAATCTCGTAACTCAATTTTAACCCACTTCCCAATGTGGCATCGACTACAAACTTGGTCTCCTTATATCATACTGATGACAATACTATATTCTATCATTAAAAAAATATATTTCTAAACATTATTTTACATGTTGTTTCCGCTTGGGTCTAATTGTCCACGCTCAACTGACGTTGGCTGTAATTCACCACGGTACCCTTACGTTATGGCAAGCTTCGGGTTCACTTCCTCAGGTCGTGGAGTTTTGCCATTACGAGTACGGTACATTTCATTAAAGCGTGTTTTAAAAAAAAAAGTATTTTTAAATATTACTTATTCAGAAGCAACCTCGCCATGAATGATAGCTGAACGAAGTGGGTTACCACGTGGAAATGCATAGCAGTAGCAAAATACTCTTAACGTCCTGTGTGAGCGGAGTAGCACTAGTTGTAGTAATATTGAACGGTTAATACGATCCCGCAGCAATGGCCAGGGCAGCCTGTCGGATTCGAACCGCGATCCTCCGCAACCCACGACCTCCTGCATGCCGGGCGAGGTGGTTAACATCTCGCCTCCGAGTCAAGGAGGTAATGGATGTGAACAGAGAACGGAACGGGAGAGGTACGAGAGGGAACGCCTCGACTCTGCTGCTGCTGCTGCTCCACGGAGGAGGAAGCAGCGTCTGTTCTCACAGTGGGCGGGGAGAGGGGAGGAGACTCAGAGTGGGGGAGGGGGGAGGCACAGACGTCACGTGGTTTGCGGGAGACCACCAGCTGATTTACATAAAGTCACGTGGAATGTTTTCCTTGTATTTTCTGCAAATGTTACCCCAGATTTATGTTACCGTGAAGGATTAACCCCCCCCCCCCCGGCGTGACGAGCGCTGTTTTCGAGGACACGTGAAGTCCCAACACACGCGCACACTACTGTACTCCAGACCAGGTGTCCAAATCCACTGCTGGATATGCCAGCTTCTATCCACACCGTGCGGGCCCGTGTGTGCGGGGCTTATTCAACCGGAATAATCATAACCGAGCACATTTGGTATTCGCCACACGAAGGAACATAACGTCGCTGCGGCGTTTCACAGACACAGCTTGCAGTAGTTTCCCAGCGGGGGGGTGGGGGGTGGGAAAGGAGGAGGAGGAGGGGGGGTGTTACTTTCTGTGCAGAATCGCAAGTGACCAATTTGTGGCGTAATTTTTAGAACGTTGGCACATTTGGGGTGGGGAAGCCAAGGCACACAATGGGCAAATCTCGTTTTCGAACTCCGCCAAAGGCGATCTCTAACGTCGTCGTAGCAGCGGCAGTCCTACCGAACGGTTAATATGGTCCCTGCGGCAATTACCAGGGCGGCCTGTGGGTTTCGAACCACGAGCCTCCCACAACACACGGCGACTGCTGGGGCTGTATCGCCGCCCCATACTTCACACCACACGTGGGTGACGCCGGCGGTGATGATGATGATGATTGCACCATGAGTTGTGAAGAGGAGTTGATTGTTTGGCGTATGTGGGGGGGGGGGGGGGTAGAGTTATGGGTAGAATGCAGGCTGCGATGTGGTGTCGTTCCCGTGGGTGTCTCTCTGCCGATCTGCTGGCCCTAATGAATAGCCATTAGATCAACGCGGGTGACATGCTCGGGCGCTTAATGCTGGCTGCCCCTGCAGGGGATGAGCTCAGCCGCACGGATAAAGATCCGCGGAAGCGCCGTTCCTACCTCGTTGCAAGCAACGCATTCATTTATTTTTTTCCGGCGAGTTTAATTAGCAGTAGATAAATATACGATTAACACGTGTAGGCTTTTACCACCAATATTAGGATTCGTAAATGTATTTATTTGGGGGGGGGGGGGGGTGGCGGGAGGGTTAGATGGTGCATGTGACACGTGTGTGTCGAGAACCCTCCTACACCCGGACACGGCCAATTGATCAAGTATCGATGAGACGGAGGTGGATGAGAGCTGATGAGAGCTAGAGTACATGCTTGGGATGACACTGAGAGACAGAATGAGGAGCATGTGGATGAGAGAACACACGCTCAGGGCTTGATACAGGTCACCTCGCCAGTGGTCGAGACTAACAGCGGAGTGGCAGCCAAAGGAGCGAACAAGTCCCACGAGAGCACAAAGATACCCCATACAGCCTTAACGGACTTCTGGGGCAAGTGCTGTTAGCGAGTAGCATCTATGAAGGTCCGCACGGTACACGAGGGGGTGGGTGGCCAGCACCACCCCCGACCACATTTGTCTCCCCAGTGGCGATGTTTACACATTGCAGCAGGTACTCATTTTAGGCTGAGCCGACCTACAGGAGGCCCAGACCCGTTTCAAATAATCGTCACTGCTAACCGACCGTGAGCGGGAATTGTACTCGGGTTTCCGGGTTCATAGCGCAGTACGCAAACCGCTACACTACCGCTCCCCAAACACACACACACACACGCTTATGTAGTGAGTCATTCAGAGAGACTATTTAGGAGGCAACGTTTATTCTACACTTTACGCAACACCGTGACACACGGGACTAAAGACACCTATTCCCACTCTTGTTACGCATGGGACCACAATACACCTATCGCTCTTGAAGATGGGATAACTATAATCGGGTCAGAACAGCCAACGTGCTGACCGACCTACGATGTCGAAGACGGGGACGAAGACGCGGCACTTGGGGTTCCACTTCACCTGCAGACAGCCCGGATCTGTGATGGGAGCTTCCCTTTAATCTCTCTCGGCGCGGCCTGGCTCCGCCCTCTGCCGCGCCCTACGTCCAGGCGACACCGCACCTGTTCCCTCGCTGGCTCCGCCCTTAACCACGCCTCTCCCGGCAACTCTCCAGACGTTCCCAGCTACTCCCCGTGCCCCCGCGCTCACCTGTGGCCAACATTCCTCACCCCGGCCCATCACGTGCTTAACCCGGTGCCGGGGTAGAGTCGTCCCCACATGTCCCCTACCACCAGCCCCCCCACCGCACTCCCTGTGGAGATTCCCTGCGGCGCTGGTGGAGGCTGCAACCCCCCTACTGTCGGTAGGACTTCGTCAGGGTTCATCCAGCTAGCACCCAGTACCATGCCCCTAGCGGCCAGCTGAGTGGTACTGCACGGCGTTCGCCTCTGCGCTTGGCGCTACGCGCCGTAGTGATCCATTTAACATCACGACACATGCAAGCAGACGACAGAAAATCAGAGTTTAATATCTCATGGAGTGCGTGGGTTTGTTTTCAAGCGATCTGCCCCAGACAGCGCCGTCAACAGAACGCGACAGAGGGCGGCGATCTTTTATTTTACAGAGCGGGAGGGGTGTCACTCACTCACCCCCTCCGTCAATCATTCCGAGGCCCTGCCACAAACATTAACCTACTCGCTCATCCACCGCCTCAACCACGCATATACAACTCGCTCTAATCCACGCTCATTCACTCAAACCGCTCACTGAACCACGAGCTTGCAACTGCACCGACTCGCTCAGCCTCGCCCACTCGCTCGATCAAACCACGCACTCACAAATTCACCCAGCACTCACGAAATCACTTGCTCGCAAATCACCTGGAGCGCAATTACTAAACTCGTCCGCTCACGAAATCACCTAGCCCACGCACTAAAGTAGCTATACTCACCATTAGAGTCGCCAAGTTCGCGTGAACCCACGTGCTCACCTCACGAGTTCACAAACTAGCGCATCCACTCGCAAGAAATCCACGCGCTTGATCACTCAAACTCACAAACCCGCACGCTCAAACCCAACCAACTCGCATCACAAACCACCTCCCTCGCTCTCAAACCAACTCAGTCGCTCATCGACTCGCTCGCTCGCTCACAAACTCACCAGGCGAAGCACTAGCCCAGTGTCATTCACTCATTTTCACCGAGAAGGGGAAGCCACTTTCGCCGATAAGACATCGTCAGTGTGAGGGCTGCCGCACATTATGAAACCATGTGTGGGGGGGGGGCTTGATAGCAGCACCATGATGATGATGTGTGGTGTTCTCACTGGGGCCGTCAGTGGGACCACGGGCCATGCAGTGAAGAACTACGGCCCGAGGTGGTGGATGTTGAGACCGTCAGAGTGGGGCCTTCGCTTGGCCGTCAACGACGAGCTGTATGGCAACACGGTGACATCACCACCAATGACCTCTTGACCTCGAGTGTCCACCAGGAACCTCCCCCGTTCCCCACCGCCTGTTGCCAGGAATCGCTCAATCGCACGCCGCCACACCGCAAGGTAGAGCTTGCACGTTGTTTAGTTTTTATTTATTTTCCCCGTCTCGTGATCGCGACGACCGTAAACACCCGAACAAAGCAGCCGCCAGTGGTGCACCGCAACGCAGTCCACAAACACACACTCGCCGATAGCGCTGCGTGTGGCCTAAAAAAAAAGGAATAGGCGACGTTCCAGGCAATAGCCCTTCTTCAGAGCACGTTAAAATATATATTACGTGCTACGAAGAAGGGCCCATTGACAAGTTGACAACGCTGCACGAGCCTGATGATTGATAAAAAAAAGTTGGTTGCGTGCTATCAAGGGTCATTGCCCGAACCGAACACCAATTATAGAGTTTCGCTATTAAGGCCACACAAGTGGTATTGAGAACGGTGGAGATCGGGTTGGTTAACGTGGTGCGAGGGGTTCAGTGTTGGGGGAATTACACAGATCGGGGTGGGTGGAGGGGTGATTGTGAATACTTCAGACCTCGCGAGCCACCCTGGTCGAAACATCGAGCATTCACACGCTGCACGCACCCGATGGATTTGCTAAACAGCAGCCTCAAGGCGGGGGAAAAGTCGGGGGGAAAGGCAGGGGGAGCGCGTTGGCTCCAATTCCATGAAGGGTCTTCTCCGTTCCGAGGCACACACAGAGTGGTTTACACCACGCTGCGCGAGCTTGATGATGGCGAAACTACAGCCCCTCTCGCCGACGTGGATTCAGTGAGAGATCTCGTGTGTGTTTGCTCTGTTTGTGTACATTTCGTGTTGGGGGGAGCGGTAGTGTTGCGGTGAGCGCGCTGCGCTACGAACCCGGCGACCCGAGTTTGATCCCCGCTCATGGCGAACACTTAAGCGACAGCAATTATCTGAACTGGTCCTGGGACTCCCATAGATTGACTCGGCCTCAAATGAGTAGCTGGTGGTGTGCAAACATCGCCACTAGAGAAACAAACGCGTACCGTCCCAGCCTTCGTAGGTGCTCGCGAACAGCACTTTCCCAAAGTCTGTTACAAGGCTATACGGGGAATCTTTGCTTTTGTGTGTACATCACGCGTGACAAAGATCACTCGTTTCGTCTGATGGGGAAGATGCCGTTGGCGAGTACCTATGGAGGCGGACACCACGCCCGACCGCCTTCGTCTCCCCGATGCCCATGTGTTACGCATCGCGCAGATGGTACTCGTCTCTGCCGGAATCGACCGAGAGAAGTAGCCCAGGATAGTTTTAAATAGTCGACGCCGATGTGGGCTGGCCATTTCAGGGAAGTCGAACCCAGGCCTGTGGTCGGGTGAGCAGTAGTGCGCCGACCACTCCGCCACCGCTCCACCCATGCACACGTGACACACACACACACATCACTATATTAATATTTAAATTCTCCCTCCGCACATCACGTGGGACCACGTGTTTACTGGTTTACTTATCATCGGGCGCGTGCAGCTCGTAACTCACCCGAATTGCTAACGGACGTGGGCAAACGTGTACCGTGGTGAGTTTGCGAACCCTTATCAACGTCTACATTTACTTATTTAAATGGTTTAAAAAGATACGGGCGCGGCCCTGCAATGGCTCACTCACGCCACTGCTGGTGGAAGGGGCCTTCGCACGGACAGAGAGAGAGAGACACCTTTTAGGAGGGTGGGGGGGGGGGGGTGTTTTGGTCTCCTCTTCCACACTGTGTCCCAGACGTATTGGTTGAAGGTGAGGGGTGGGGGAGCAGCCTTCGTTTCAGCTAGGAGCTGTCCGGTGCCGAGATTCAAACAAACCAAAAACATTCCATGGCAAGTGAACCCCTGGCTGGCTTCAGTACCCACACATTACCCCACCACGCGTTACCCCACAACGCGTTACCCCACCCCCACTCGTCGACTTAACTGTGGCGCAACTATTTATATTGCTGGGTGCACAGAGGGAGATGGGGGGGGGATAGGAGGGAGGGGGTTGAGGAGGGAGGGGGTTGAGGAGGGAGGGGGTTGAGGAGGAAGGAGACGGCGGAGGCTTAAGGAGGAAGAGGCAGGAGGAGGAGAGAGGGAGGGGGGATGAGGAGGAGGGGGGGGAGCTTCAGGGGGAGTGAGAAGGGAGGCAGTAGGCGGTCTAATCGAATCGACGACTTCTGGATTGCAAGTTCCAGTGCATTAACCATCACAGCAGCCCACCCAGACACACGCACGCACCGCGAGCGACAGGTGGTGTGATGCAACAGGGACGCGCGCTGGGAATGACACCCGAGAGCCAGAGAGAGAGAGAGAGGGGGGTTGGGGTGAACGCGTGGATTGGACAACAGACACGAGCTATCGGTATACCAACAGGTTTAGAGTCGGCGCGATTCCCTGTTCGAAAGAGTATCTGGGGGTGGGATTCCCACGTTCCTATGACAGGGGCGAATCCATCCATATAAGGGAACCGTCGTTGAGCGATCTCCCCACAAAGTGGCTCTCATTGTATCGCTTCTGCAGAGATGGACGGCGTCAGAGGCTCCCCCCAGCGTCCCCCCCCCTCCCCGAGTCCATCCCCCCCCCCACCACCACCATTGCCCCCCACACCTCCATTCCTCCCCCACCCCGCCAACCAGGATTTGAACTCGTGACCTCTCATTCTATGACCGCCAAACCACCCGCCTATATTTCACACAATTACCGTGCCCTACATTGCAACACAGGGGTACAATGAAAGAGTATTCGCATACGATGGGCGTGTGCGTGCCTTGTACCCCAGTGGCAGTGCCTTACGCCGACGATCCCCAACCCCGAGCCAGCCGAGCAGCTGTACAAAACAAAAATAATCGATCAGCCCAGAGACGACACAACCTCTCGCCACCCAGAGCCTAGGGTGTCCGACCTCGAAGAGAGCAACAGAACAAACAACCCAGGACAGATGAAGAACGTCTCCATAGCGGAAGAGGTGGCGGTGGTGGTGGTGGTGTGGGGGCGAAGAGATATTTCAACCGGAGTCGTCCTTGTGCCGAGCTCCGGAATAATATTGCTTACCGTCGCCGAGACTCAAAAAACCGCTCGCGACGCGCAACAGCGTAGAGGCGAAGATGCTCGATCACGGGTTATTGTCGTGGTAGCCGTTTGCGCGAGTGCGTCATCCGCGCGCAAGCGACACGCTTGCGGCCGCTTGCCGTTCACCGCGACGTGGCAAAGCAACAGGACGAACCGACACAAAAAGAGATTCACCCAACGTACGAGTGATCCAAAATCGCAGAGCCAAAGTCCTAACATCTCGTCCAATCGCGAATGGTCCCCTCTCTGCCCCCCTCCCCCTCCCCCCCGGGGAAAGTATCCTGGAACAGCACGATGACCGCAAGCCCCGAGCAAAACTCGCGTCGTCGTCAGGGGGGTCCCGCCCACATTGGCACGCGCTTTGACCACAACGTTCCGCGGGTTAAAATGGCGACACACACACACACACACCTCGCGTTGTTTTGTAAAGATGCATTTTTTTGTTACCGTTTACGTTTGACCACTGTTGTCGTTGTTGTTGTTGTTGTCGTCGTCACAGATTTGCTCGACACTTCATTCGAAGCTCGCGCTTCCCCAACCGTTGAACTTTTCCCGCTAAAAAAACAACAACACTGGCTGCTGCTGATGATGCAGATGATGCAGATGCCTTCAGGGCAGATTCAATGCTTGCGGTTATAGAGGGTTTTCCCCACAGGGTACCTCCTCCGCTCCCATAGTTCACACGATGGAGCGGAGTTACCCTGGGAGGAAAAAAAAAAGATTACCCAAGATCCCTCCTGGGTGGGGGGGCGGAGGCGGTAGGTGGGGGGGGGGGGCATGCGATCGCCACCTCTAAATCGGTCGGCCAATCGCGGCGAATTCGGTCGACGGTGGTGCCGACTAAAACTCCACAATAACCCACAAAAAATCTAAAGCACGCTTGTGTATCCGTCGCTAAGCTAGCCCACGCAATGCTGGGATAATCGATGGTTTAAATAAGAAAATCTCTCTGCAGACGGTTGTACGATTTACAATTCGTGAATTCGCTTTCATCGTCCGCTTAAACTCTGCTCACGCCCAGCAAGTGCCGGCGAAACGGCACCGCCCGGGAAATTTGCTGGGCGATGAGATCGAGTGTTGTGGCTTATCGGGATTCCTCCAGGACACCTCTCAATTCATCACGAATAAATGACACGAGCACTAGCAGGGCAAGCGCGCGAGTGGTTGGGCAAGCGGGCGAGTGGTAGAGTGAATGGGCAAGCAGGCAAAATGGGTGAGTGGGCGAAGAGTAGAGTGAGTGAGTGAGTGGGCGACCATAAACCTCTGCCCCCCCCCACACTGTTGTCGTCTCCATGACTCTCAAAAGCTGCCCCCCCCTCCCCCTCCCGCGTGCCATCTCGGGTCGCTCCGCGAGTTCTATACGGCTGGCTCGTTCACCTCTCTGCGGGCTGGCTCCGGCTCCTGGTTCGCCCGCGTGCTCCGTTTGGTCACTTGGCTGCCTGCTGACCTTGACTTAGCTCGAGCTGCTCATCCGCTCGCTCGCCGGTCCGCTCCCTCCTCGGGGTCTGCTCGTCCGCTGGCTCACTGGTCTGCTCCTCTACCTCGCCCACTGGTCTCGCCGGCTCGCTCGATCCGCTTTAAATCACACGTCTGCAATATCAGCTCGATTTGTTGGCTGGCTCAATCGCTCATTCGCTCGACCGCTCGCCCTTCGCCTCCTCTCGCCTCCTCGCTCGTTCGCCGGCCAGCCCCCGGTGTGGTGGTGGTGGCGGCGACGGCGGCGTCGGTGTGGTGGCTGTGGCGGCGTGGCGGGCGGCGCCCCTAGCAGCACGACGAGGTTTTCCCGCTGCGGTTGAGCCGCCCGCTGCCCCCCCCCGGCCCCCAGCGCGTCGCTGCTGCTGCCCTCGAGCGACACCGTGTCCGTGTCATCGCGCTCCGTGCCCAGCAGGTGCTCGTTGCTGAGCACGTGGCCCACGAGGAAGCGTGCCGCCTCGTCGATGTTCTTGTTCTCCTGCTCGCGCGCGCACACGCACACACACACACACAAGACAATGGTCCCCCAGTGTTAGACTTGAAGGGGCTGCTGGGGCAAGTGCTGTTAGCGAGCACCCATGAAGGTCGGGACGACACACGAGAGGGTGGGTGGCCAGCACCACACACAACCGCCTTTGTCTCCCGAGCGGCGATGTTTACTACACACCGCACCAGGTAATAATTTGAGGCAGAGTTGACCTAGGAGAGGCCCAGGACCGATTCAGATAATCGTCACCGGTGTTGGCCATGAGCGGGAATCGAACTCGCCGGATTCGTAGCGCAGCGCGCTAACTGCTACCCCACCGCTCCCCACACAGACACACAAAGACAAAGATCCCCCGTATAGCCTGAACAGGCTTGTAGGGGCAAGTGCTGTTGGCGAGGACCTATGAAGGCCGCAACGGTACACGAGGGTGTGGCTGGCCAGCACCACGTCCGACCGCCTTGCCCAACAGACACACACACACTGGGCAGGACCCTCATGGCAAACAGAGCCATGGGACTCTGCGAGGAGGTTCTCCTGGGTGATAACGTGTGAAATTAGCGCCAACAATAACCACAACCATTGAAACAGTTCCACAGCGGAGGTGCCGACCACCGACGCCCATTTACACAAAAGGACCGGGCGCCGAGGATCACCTGCTCAGGAGTTACCGTGACCCCAGGTCACCCCTAGTCACTCCAGTCAATCACCCCAGGTCACAGACGGACGAAGCGGGTTTGTCGATGCTTAGTTTGGGGGGTTAGGAACCCCGCCGTGGGAGAGAGGCGCGGGAGGTGTGGGAGGGGGTGGGGGAATGGCGGGAGTAATGGGGGGCGCGCGTTCTCTCCAATATTCCATGCCAGTTCCAAAATTGGAACGTTTGTCACCCGTGGCAATTTTCAAAAACGCTCTTTAGATCAATCAACCGGAAAACACTCGAGATGTGGGGAGAATGCGGGGGGGGGGGGGGGGGGGGGGGGGGAAAAACGGCAGAGAAACATTCGTCCCGGCTAAAAATAATTCCGGTAATTGGACCGTAAGTGCGGGTTCCGAGATAAATAGACGGCAGAGCCGTGGTGCAAGCAAGCTCGCTCGCGTGTGCGGTGGGGTTAGGTGCGGGGTTGTACACCCACCGACAGCCAAATCGCGGTTCCCAGATGTGCACGACGAGAATGTTGTCCACTGCAAGCAAGAGTTGCGCAACTGCTGGCAACCTTGTTGCGGACACGTGCACATCGGAGCGATTCAGTTGCGTGCAGCACTCGCGCAAATGCTCACAACTGGTTTGCAGATACGTCCACTCTGCGAGCCAGAGACTTGCATAGAGACCCAATGAATTACAAAGAGATCCATAGACTCGGAGACACCAACTTACATTAGAGACACAGTTACAGTCCCGGTGACTTAAGAGTCCCCATAGACGTAAGAGTGTTATCGTATTAGCCGATTAATCGAATCGGTTGCATAATCGATTATAGAAACAATCCATATTTATTTTTCCCAGGTAGGGTCCACAAAGCAATGTAGCTCTTTTTTTAGAAGCGACGTGGCCACACAAATGATAGCCCAACGAAGTCGCTTATATTTGGTGGAAAATGTATAGCAGCCAAATCCTCGAAATCGCAAGTTTCTAAAATGTGGAGCGAAAAGCCGATGTACCCAGAAACAAATCCATGGAATGGCGGGGATAGACGCACGACAACTCGTCGTTAGGGTCGGGATCGAACCCACGCCCTCCTGTATACCAGGCGAGGTAGTTAACATCTCCTAGCCACCGTGGTGGATCGAGTGTTGTTGTCGTTGTCGTTGTTTCAGCTCCCTCGCCGGTGACCTCGAGGCAGAATTCTGACGTTGCGGATCCTGTCGTAGCCGAAGAAGCTTGCCCGCGGATTTTTAGGCCAAACGCTGCGAAACCAAAAATCGCCGAACGCAACGGCAAGAGTTGTTCCTCCACTCGCCCACGGCGAGCGAGTTCAAACATCGCACCTCCGATTGGCGTGGTTTGGCTACGGTCGGCGCAAAAGAAGTTATACATACATCACTGACAACAACAACAACACACTGGCGCGGCGGGGTGGTGGGAGGGTTCAAATATTTTTTTGACGGACCATTACCACCGGGCCTAACCCGACAATCACTTACGAATCCACGCAAGTGGCATCGTTTGCGTAGGTGACGTAGACACGCATTCTTGCTTCACACTCGGAGCCTTTATTTCGGACACAACTCTCAATTCCAGAGTCCGGGCTTTGTTCTTGATGCTCAAACTTCGTCTTCTCCTCTCCAACTGTCCCCCCTCCCCTACCCCCCATATCTGGAAGCCCCCCTCCCCCACCAACAGTCGACCCTCGTTTCCCGCCCTTTAACGTTTGAATCTCTCCTCCAATCCCTTTGCGTCTCTCATCCCGATCTTGAGGACTCCCCTGCACCAATAAGGGAGGCCTTGATCGACTTCCCGAGCCGTCCGTTCGCACGTACGCGCTTACGTCAGGCAAGTGGTCTGTTGCCTCGGTCATTACGTATGCGAGTGACGTCACACAGTGTGAAAGGTTAAAGGCGCAGGCCCTGCAGTGGCTTGCTGCACGCCGCTGCTGGCGGAAGGGTCTCCACGCTCGGGGGGGGGGGGTGGAGGGGGCATCTCTCTGGGAAGGGCGTCACCCACGGGAGGGCTTTGTTGCTTTCAACCGTAGAAAAGGGGTTCGGTTAGATGACGTAAAATGTAAATGTGTCGTTCAACCCGCCACCACCCGACCCCACAGCTAAATCAAGTAAAGTTTTGGTCATGTAAACAGAACGTACTCTTTGGTTATTTCGGTCAAGTCGCGTACATAAATAATAATGGATCGCCACGACCTTTTCGATAGTCGCACAAGCGATCGTCCTCAGGTGGGATAGAGGATGATCGCTCTTGTGTGGCGATCGAAACAGCCGTGGTGATCCTATTATTATTTACGTACGCGACTTTACCGAAAGAACCAAAGAGTTATGGATTCCTGCAGTCACGAAAGCTTCAAATCAAGATTGAACAGAACGTGCCAAGTTGGGCGACTACTTCAGCACAGCCGGTGTTGCACTGGGAGGAGAGTAAACCCACTGCAGCAACCTTTGCAATCAACGACACGTTCATGTTTACGCTATCGAACCCCTAAACAACAACAACAAAAAACCTCTGTGTCACGGATAATATTGGTCACAAAAGGCTCTGGCTGCTACTACTACCACTACAACTACGTTGTTTTATAATCTGGGTTCCACTTGGTAAAAAAAAAAAGAACGGAGCACAAAACCTTACAAAGTGCGACTTCGGGATTTTACGGGGGGGGGGGGGGGGGGGGGGGGGGGGGGGGGGGGGGGGGAGGGGGACCGGCCCGGGTCTCCGTTCTGTGCAGCAAAAAAACCACAGCGCTGACGACGCATTTCTCAACACCCTCGGCCACCACCACAACCACCAAAGACAAAGATCCACCATATAGTCTTAACAAACTGTAGGGGCAAGTGCTGTTAACCAGTAAACGAGGGGGTGGGCGGACAGCACCACGCCCGACCGCCTTTGTCTCCCCAGTGGTGATGCTTACACACCGCACCAGGTACTCATTTGAGGCCGAGTCGACCTAGGGGAGAGGCCCAGGACCGGTTTGGATAATCGTCACCGGTGTTGGCCGTGAGCGGGAATCGAACCCGGGTCGCCGTGTTCATAGCGCAGCGTAGCGCTATGAACACCACCGCTCCCCACTACCACAACCGTCGCGTGTGTGATGGCGTGCGACGCTGCCGCCGTTGACGCTCCCTCCAGCCGGATCGTGCCATGCGACGCTTTCTCCAAGTCAAGTTAAAGGTGTGCATCGTTTTATTTAAAAAAAAAACACGTGTAGCTGGGGGGGGGGGGGGGGGATTTTCGCAGTCAACTATCATGACTCGTGGGTTTGGACTGGGTTTGTTGTTGGTGTTGGTGGTGGCGGTGGGATTTTTTTCCCCATCGTGCGTAAAATTGAGAAAAATAAATTAACTATTTTTTTTATCAAAGTGTTGTAAGCCCCCCCCCCCCCTCCTTCCACCGGACACAGCCAGCTGATAAACCAGTCAAGAACCACGTGGCAGTGTCACGTGGTGACTCTGCGCAACACACCGCCAGCGCCGGTGGCGGCGGTGGCGGGACTGAAGCAGTAGTAAAAGTTGGCGCACGTATTTACACCAAGTTGCTCCGGTCGGGTGGAGGAGGATGGACGACCGCACATCTCATCCAAACCCAAAACAAATCATTACGAATCGCTGGCTTGCGCTCATTTCTTCAGCGTTTTACCTGTTCCGCAACGCAGTCGTTTTTGGTGCTCCATCTCCCATCTCGGTCGTTCAGAGCGCCGATTTAAATTGCATTCGTTGCCGTTACTCGATTGTAACCGAATACAAAATCAACTTCGGATTCCGATATTGGATTTTGTCCTTTTTGGTGTCGACGACTTGCACACCCTGGCCTCCTGACTTTTCACCTTGGCCAAACAAAGTTGACCGTAGACCATTACAAGCCTTTTTTGTCTTCCAATGACTCTACTCTGCAGATTATAAAGACGCTTGAAAAAGCGGCGAGACGCACCCCAAAACGTGTGCCCAGTGTCAATAAAGTCACACAAAATCTGCTCACACGCATGCACGCACATTCACACATGTGTGCAAGACAAAGACCCCCCCCCCCCATGTAGCCTTTAATAGACTGTTGGGGCAAGTGCCGTTACCGAGCAGCAACTATGAAGGCGGGCACGGCACACGAGGGGGTGAAGGTGGCCAGCACCACGCCCGGTCGCCTTTGTCTCCCCAGTGGCGATGTTTACTACACACCGCGCAAGCTACTCATTTAAGTCCGAGTCGACCTGGTGGAGGCGCAGAACCGGTTCAGATCGTCGTCACTGGGGCTGTTGGCCGTGGGCGGTAATCGAACTCGGGGTCGCCGGGTCCGAGGCGCAGCGCGGCGCGGCGCTAACCGCTGCGCCACCGCTCCCCACACACAAAGACACGTGGCGTGCGGGGGCACCTTGGCGGAGGTGTGGAACCAGCCGGTGAAGCCGTGCTCCTTGCAGAACGCGTCGAGCTGCGGCGCGCTGGCGCCGTCGGGCGCCTGGTCGCTCTTGTTGGCGAGCAGCACGGCGGGGATGGGGCCGCCGTTACTCAGCATCACCTTGGCGTCGAGGTCGCTCTTCCACTTGGCCACGGCCTCGAACGTGGAGCTGCGCGTCACGTCGAACACCACGAAGGCACCCACCGCCTCCTTGTAGTAGACCCGCGTCATGTTGCCGAACCGCTCCTGGCCTGCGCCCGTGCCCGCGCATGGAGGGAAGAGTGGGGGGCGTCAGGGACACGGAGAGTCGGGGTCAGAGAGCATGAGGGACACGGAGAGTCGGGGTCAGAGCATTAGGGCCATGGAGGCTCAGGAGGGTGGCAGTCACAGCGGGGGACACGGAGGGTTAGGAAGGATCAGAGGGACAGGCTCGTGGAGGTCAGGAAGCCAAGTGAGGTAACGGAGGCACGGAGTAGCCGGACGCCGGCAGCAACGACCATCGATATCGTTAAAAATCGGTCAAGGTCGAGAGGTCATCACAGACAGCCGTCGACGTCGCCAGCGGACGTGCTGGCGCCCGCCACCCCGAGCCAGGCCGCGCCTCCCAGGAGGCAGAGGGAACCCGCGACCGGCCAGTGGGCCCCCCGGGTGTTACGGCTCATCTGTCGACTGCCATCTTTCTACGATCAGCCCGGAAATAGATCTGCCCCAATAGACATCACGGAGATTGTTTTATTTCTTATGTATCGCATTTAGGTTTGGGGCAGCATTTTCGATTTTGCACGCAATGCAGTTTGTTTCGGCCTCCGATGTCCGGCCTCCGATTGCTTCATCGCTGCTACTAGTTGTTTTTTTTTTTTTACGGGATCCCCCGGCTTTACGCGGTAGTCGGAGTAGTAAATGCATTGCAAAAAAAAAAGTGCGCACAAAGCGAACGCGCACCAGCTCTGGCGATATTGAGACACCGCCCCAGGTAATCATTTGAGGCCAGGTTCGAAGCGCAGTGCGCTTAATGCTACACTAACCCCTCCACACAACAAAGACAAAGATCCCCCCGTATAGCCTGCACAGACGGTTGGGGCAAGTGCTATTAGCGAGTAGCACCGATTGAGGCCGGCATGGCACACGAGGGGGTGGGTGGCCAGCATCACACCCGGCCGCCTTTGTCTCCCAGTGGCGATGTTTACACATCGCACCAGGTACTCATTTGAGGCCGAGTTGACCTAGGGGAGGCCCAGTACCGGTTAAGATAATCGTCGCCGGTGTCTGGCCATGAGCGGGAATCGAACTCGGGTCGCCGGGTTCGTAGTGCACATTTTACACACAAATATCGCCCATAAAGCTTTAACCGACTCTTAGGGCAAGTGTTGTCAGCGAGCAGCACCCACAAAATCCGGCACGGCGAGCAAGGTGGTAGTGGTGTGGCTGGGTCACCACACCCCACGCCCGCCAGCCCGGCCGTCTTTGTATCCCCAGCACTGAAGTTGACACACCGCACAAAGGCACTGCGCTCATTTTAAAGGCCGAGTGGACCTAGGGGAGCGCCCCGAATGCGTTCAGCACATCACTCGCCACCGACGTTGACCGTACGCGGGAATAGATCACGGGTCGCCTGGTCGGGAGGGGGGGGGGGGGGATCCATAGTCCTAAAGAGCGCTAACCACTGCGCCACCGCTCCCCCGCACGCTCAGGCAGGAAGTGTAAATGGGAAGCGGGGGGGGGGGGTGGTGACGGTTGGGGCACGGGGCAAGTCACGAGACTCGGACCCCGCACACTCACAGAGGGGGGTGGGGGTGTAGAGAGAGGGGTGGGGAGGGGGGCTGCGGTAGAGGGGTAAGATGGGGGGGTAGAAGGAGGGGTGAGGTTGGTGGGGGGGGGGTAGGAGGGGTGGAGTTGGTGGTGGGGTAGGAGGGAGGGTGGGGTGGGTGGGGGTCCCTCCTTCCACAGTCATCACTGCTCAGCCAACACAGCAAGCGCCACTAAGACCCCTCCCACCATCCACGCCATGTGACCCACACAGCCATCCCGGGGCCAAGTGCTGGGTTGGTGCCGTCCGCATCACCGCTGGACCCGGCATTCAAAATCGGTCCTCGTTCAGGGTTACCGCGCAGTACTTGCCCCCAACATCCATCCACAAAGACAAAGATGCCCCCCCGTATAGCATTAACAGACTGTTGGGGCAAGTGCTGTTATAGCCAGCAGCGCCTATGAAGGTCGGCACGGCACACAAGGCGGAGGGTGGCCAGCACCACGCCCGGCTGCCTTTGTATCCCAGGTGCTGATGAGAAACAGCACCAGGTAAATCATTTGAAACCGAGGCTACCTCGGGGAGGCCCAGAATCGGTTCGGGATATCACTCGCCACCGACACAAACAGCCGCCGTTCGCCACGAAGTGGCGGTGACGTCACCACCGCGCTCGTGCCAGGCTAGGTGCAGAGGCCACGCGAAGTATCGAAGGCTCACTGCTGGCAGGCTACGTGACAGACCCAGGTGCCATGGGTTGACCGAGACGCACCACTTGTGCTCACCACTGCGCCAGCCTGCTGCGTTTTAGCCGCCCGGCACGCCGCTCGTTGCTGCGAGCGTCGCTCCTCTACCCTCCGCTGTTGCTGGAGGGCGACTGCCTCCAACTGCCCAGCAGCGGTCTTCGAGAGCCTCCTCCTCCACAGAGGCCGATATTGACACCGCTGGCACCACTCTTCAGCAAGTCCACTCAGCTCCACATCCCTCCTCCTGTATCACATCAGTTAATCTTTTCTCCAGCCCGTGCCGCGCCCGTTTATACCCACTCTATCCAACCAAACAGTACTGGGCCTGCTTTGTAAAGCAGTGGCTGGGCATACCGACTGCATGACCCAGCCAACGCAGCCTCGCCTGCCAGAGGAGCCCATTGACGAGGCCGCGTCCAGATCTTTCAGGGATCTGCGACCTCCCCAAACAATCCAGGCTGGATCCCAGGGGGCAGGCCAGCCTCAACGTTTCAAGCCGACGCAGATGTGCTTTTAAAATGGCTCCACGTTTCGCAAACCACACACACGCGCACACACACGCATTCCAGCGCACGCACGCACTGGCATGTGACGTGCAAACACACGCCGAGGCATGTGACATGCGCATGGACACGCACGCACATTCACACGCAACATTGTCCAAGTGAAACCCACTGGGAAGATCAGAAACGAAACGAGACCTTTAAACGGCTCCCATTATAATCCGAGTAGAAGGCAAGCATAAACGGAATTTACATCCGAATTGCCCCAGTGGCAGATCAAGCAATGCGCATCCCCATTTGAGCTCTGGTATGGTATTTCACCTTAACATGTTCCAAAGCCACCTCCTTAACCTCCTTCCGTTCGTCTCTCTTAAAGCCTTGCCACCTCTTCTCCATCGTCCATTCCTTTCCCTCCTCCTCTCCACTCCTTCCCGTCCCTCCCCTCCCCGTTCCGTGATCCCCTAAGTTACCCCTCTATCGCTGTCATCCCTCAATACCTCGTAGCGTGCCCCTGTTAATTCGTTCCATTCTGTGTCACCGTTGTGCAAGCTACGTCATCAAGAGCCTTGGGTCAAGGTGCTCTATAAATGTACAATTCGATTGGATGTACAGCCTTTCATCAATCCACTGCTGGATCAAGGCTTCCCCCATGCTTTGTCGGTCTTGGGGTGGGCGGTAGGGGGCGGAGGGCAGGGGAGGGTTCGACCATACCTCCCCCACGCTGGCCAGCGTGCGTTGGCGAAGGAGCGACCCGCGGTGGGCCACTTGAGACGCTGCCCACCACCGATGGTCGGCCGCATGGGAAGGCCTCATCCAGCAGTCGACCGACCAAAGGCTAGCACCACACGCACCTGCCGTGCTCAATGTCGCACCCCAAAAGACTGTCCTGGGGCCGTCGGTCGGCTGGACTGAGAGACGGGCATCCCGAGGCAAGTCACCACAAACGCGGCGAGAGGGAGGCGGTGCACTGGATTTCCGTGTGCCGCCAGGCGACGGAAAATTTTCTGGTTCGCCGGCACGGACAGACCCCGGGCGTGAAAAAAAATTGACGACAAAAATAGACAAAAACATTGGTCCCTGATGAGCGTTCCACTTCAAGGGGGTGGGGGCTTTGTGTCCGACCCATGCTTCACCACGCCGTGGTCAGCGCGAGTTGGGTTGAAAACGAGAGTCTCGGGGGACAGGCTACGCAGGTTCAGATAGCGCTCGCCACTGCCGTTGGCCGTGACGGCAGAACGTGGAAAATGAACGGGCCAGTTTCCATACTCTTTGGTTCTATTCGGTAAAGTCACTTAGGTAAAAAAATAAAACAACAAAAATCACGACGTTTCGGCCACAACACAAGCGGCCTTCATCAGGTGAAGGGATCAGGCTGTCTCGAGGACAGCGCTGGAATGAAACACAGCCACGCTCAGACCGCGGACCTTTAAGCTGTGTGCGAGGAAACAAGGTGCCTTGACAAAGGAATTAACATAAAATTAGCATTTGATTGGCCGACTTAACATAGAGGTGGTGTACGTGCGGGTGGACTTGCCGTTTGGCGCGGGGGAGGGGGAAGTTTAACTATTGATGGTGTGAAAAGGGAATTTTTAATAGCTGCGAAAGTTTGGGGTACCACTACTTGAAAAATATACTGTACCATTGAAAATTAGTTTAATGTTTAGTTCGATTTAGAACATCTTTCCAATGGTTGCTTAATTTGAAACCATCTTCTTGGTTGAAATTGTGTCCGTGTTTGTAGATCTGAATTGCCTCGTGAACAAATCTCTGATAAAAACCCGTGGGTTTGCAAAGAATCTTGGTATCGGAGAAAATTATATCGTGATCACCCACAGCGTTGTAACAGTTATCAGCCACGGCAGAAGAATTCGTTTTGCCGTGTTTCAAATCTGATTTGTACTCGCGAATTCGGTCAGAGACATGTCGCTTTGTCTCCCCGATATAGCAATCACCGCAGGTACAACTCAATTTGTAAACCCCGGGGTACTGCAAGTCAGGAATGACATCCTTCACGGATGGGATCAGATCACGAATTTTGTGTACTGTATTGAACCGGACCTGGATCTTGTGTTTGTTTAGAATTTTGGAAATCTTTTTAGTAACGGCTAATATATATATGCTAGTGTGATGGTTTTGACCGGAGTATCAAGTGGTTGTTTCTGTATGGAGGGAGAAACAGCTTGGCGGATGGTACGGTCAGAATATCCATTCCATTTGAGGGCCAGGTGTACATGTTTTAATTCACTGGTCAGGTGGTGTTGGTCTGAAAT